GATTTTCATTTTTAGTTTGCTGCAAAGTTTTGCTTTGAAGTGTATGTCATACGTTGATGTGGGTTCAATTCAATGGTTGTTTATGTGTGTTTCTCATATTTTTCCATAATTAAGAATGATTTGTAACCACTCCACCACAAATAAATTAAATACTGAAAAGCTAAAAACAATAGAGAAGAAAGTGGATTCATGTTTGATAATTTTGGGGCTTTTGTTTCATCAAATATACATTAAGCATGTTAATTTTACAATTATTGTGAATTTTTAGCCTATTTATTATTATTATTAATTTTTTTTAATTTTTTAATTATATTACCGGTTGAACCCGCGACCCAATGGTTGAACCAGTGACTCATTGACCCGGTCCCTCTTCCGGGTTGATGTCCAGGCTGAGTTTTAAAACTATGTATAACATTGTTTAAGACATGGTAATAATTGCAAGAATAACAAGAATCAAAGATTTCATAGCATATATATATGATTTAGAGTCAAAAAGTACATATATATATAAGCCCGAACCTCAATGTAAGAGAATAGGAAGAAACCCCTACCTTGAATCCGAATTTTCAAGCTAACCCAAGCTCTAGCGACTCTCTTCCTCCCTTTTCTTGTTCCCTTCTTATTTTCTCCTAGGGTTCTAAGAGGTTTGAGTGAAAGTGAAGTGAAATAATAGAAGAAAATGAGTGGAGAAGGGTGTTCTTGAAAAACTTGAAGTTTTGATCTTCTTTGAAGTATAAATCCCTTTTGATCTTGTGTTTTTCTCTTCCTTTTTTCCTCTCTAAGTTTTTCTAGGGTTAGAGGTGTTGTAATGGGGCTAAAGGATACATCCTTAAGTACTTATAGTGGAAGGAGAGCAGGCTGTTAGTGATCTGAAGAAATCAGATTTTTTTTTTTAAGGGGAGTACCGGTACGTATAAGCTATTGGAGTTCGACGTACCGGTACGCGTACCAGTACGGTTGTGCAATTTTTGCCTTTTTCACATGTTTTTCATTTTCAATCCATTTCTAACCCTTCCAAAGCCAACCCAAACTTACACAACATACATTTGTACATCAAACATAGTTGATATAAGTTCTATTGCAAACGATTTTCTATATTTACAAGCTAAAACTAAGTTTTAACTACTATTTACTCGAGTTTTACCATATTAACATTTCAAAAGAAATAATTATTTGCTATATATATATATAAAGATAAAAGTGTGGGGTTTACAATTAGTGAGGAAGAAACAGAGAGAGATTCGGGAGAGATCTAATTTGTGAGAATTTTGTATAAAGTCTTGTATTTTATTTGTAGAGAGAAATAAAGAATTCCCCTTTGTTTAAATCTTGTTTGTGATATATTTCTGGCCCTGAGTAACCAACATGTAGATGCAAGGCTCCATTTTGATAACATCACTATCAATGATTTCCCTTTCTAGGTTGTAATTGTATAAAACATGACTCCATAATATAGCTTCATAAACTGCTAGAGTAAGAGCAAGCAAAAAATAGATGAAAGTGGCTTTCAGCAAACTAGTATGAGAGTTGTTCTCTTGCTTTATTTTTGTTATGAGAACTCTTAGTAATTTTCATATCTTTAGTGAGCTTTTGCCTTTGCATTTCTCTAGTGAACATAAGCTTCAGATTAAACCCCATAACTGGTGGACTAGTATGTTTTTTTTTTCTATTTAGTTTAATTTATAAACTTATGCATAACCACATCTAAAGCAAAACAACGATAATAGCTGCTTAGCAACAAGGTAAAAGAAACTGAATTCAAAGTATTTTTTCAAACCTCTTAGGTTACAAAACAATAGCAAGATATGTGTCTCTTTTTTCCAATGGATGCATCACTAGATCATATACGGGGCATTGTTATCCACCAATGCTTGCTCTTAACAATCTCGTGTGAAGTTCTCTTGATGTTAGAGATCACAATAACCATCACAGTGTTTTGGTCACATTGAATCAAGGAACTAAACTTCATTTTGAAAAGGTCAAAATGTTTCTATTTCCATGGAAACTAAAACGAATTATTGATTAAATATCAAAATTCTTATGTTTCGAGGTGTTTCAGTAGGTTTCGAGATATTTCGGCATGTTTTGACCTATGTTAATTTAGAATGTTTTGGTATGTTTCGACCATTGTTTTAGAAATAAATTTTCAAAATTTTCCTTATTTCTGAAACATTCCCAAAATGTTTTCATTTTTAAACTCACTAATACTATGTACCGAAACAAAATTTTAATCATTGCACTGAATAATTTCTCACATATCTCACCGAATGGCTAAGTGGTCTCTCACAACATAACAAGTATTTGTATGATGCCAACCATGACATAGCATGTATTACAATAACGCAAGATACAATGTCTGGTGCAGCAGACAAATAGCGGCCCCTCATATATCAACTGAATTATTGAAGCCCTCGTAATCATACTTTTGTTAAACATCTTTAAGAACAAGTCCAAAACAACACTTCATGTCGAAAAACAAAGAAAACTATGAAAGGCATCCCTCTAACTCTCACACAATCCTTCCTTTGGTGGGACGAGAAAATTTCTTCACGACACGTAGTCGAAGGAATACTTGCAGAGATGACCAAATAAGAACAAACATTTAAATATATTGTTTGCTTAGAAGTATTTTCTGGTAAGATTATAAAGTAATCAACTCATTTAAACTCTTTGGCCATGTGATAATATATAATACTTAGAAAACATATATGTGTCTTCCAAGTCATATGAATTTTTATTGGTGTATGCATTGTATGTGAAATCAAAAGGAAAAGGAAAAGATTAAAACTAAAAATTACACATACTTTTTTACATACTAGTGAAAGCACACGTGCGTTGCACGTGAGTTATTTTGAATATCAAATAGGATAAAATAGTTTTGTTATGTAGATTATAAGATTTTTATTGTTTTAAATCTTTAAAAAAAAACCAAGTGGTCTTTGACCACATCACCATAAAAAATCACTCTAACCACGGATTAAGTGGTTTTCTAGAATTTAAAAGGAGCAGTACCCTAATATTAAACATAAATAAATCATTGAGGACTTTAAGATCACATTAAACATTAAACTCAAATCAAAGTAGGAAACATGCTAGTGTTAATTGAAATGTTATTCAAGGTTAATTTCCTATCAGAACCATACTCAATTCAAGATTTATTATTATACTACTTTTGGCCCATAAGTGAAATTAGAAATCACATGAGGATCCCGAATTAGCAAATAACATAACCATTAGCATAAGAAATCACATACGTATTAATGAAAAAAATTACAAATTTTACAAATTAATGTAGTAACACTTAAAATTGCCCTCATCACAAATCAGTTCTTAGAACATCCAATTGTTACAAAATTCAAAATGGCGACTAATTCATGTATTTTTTTTCTAGAGGTTCACTCCACCAAAGTGTCAAGGGTAAGCCACATGTTCTAACACTCTCTAGATTTTAATATCAAGTTCTCCAAAAGATGACTTCTTTTCAGATAAAATAATAAATTAAATTATGAGGAAAAAAAAGTATTTCCTCTCGGGTTTTTAAAACCAAAGGTAAAAGGTATAATAAAAAGGGCAAGTATAGTATTATTTTCATGGAAATATCAATAGTAACATTTTAATTATTTTTTATCCTCAATGATAAAAATATAATACGACTCGAGAGCATAATTTTTTTCTACTTTTCTATACGAAAAAAGAAAGTTAGTAAAAATAACAAACACATTCACGAAATTGAAAAAATCAGTTTGCTAAAAGAAAAAGCTTCTTTTCTTTGTTCGAGTCCTTTTTTGCTTTGTCAAGATGTTGGTGCAATCTTGTTATGATGATATGCAAAGCTTGTTTGGAAGACAAACAACCTAAAACTTTTAAATATTAATTACTGTAATTATGATATGAAAAATGCTAATAAAAATCAAGATATATATTAGTATTAACTATATTATAAATTGGATGTACACTGAATATTTATTTTTTGAAGTACAAATAGATGTATAGATATAGATATCCATATAGATTATTTATGTGAAAAAAGTATATGAAGGGTTATTTGGATATTTAAATGATATTGGGTGATTAAATATATCAATGATATAGTTGACTTTAATCATTTTTATAGGGGTATAAAGTGTATGAAGGGTTATTGGATATTTAATTGGTATTAAGTAATTAAATATAAAATGATATAATTATCTTTAATCATTTTTATAGGGGTATTATGGTCTAACAAAATTTTTTCACTTTTGTTGACATTTTATAATAATATAGATAGAAGTATCCACAAAGTATTCATATATTTTATTTATTATTGGATACGTTTGGTGTGTATCCGATACATATCTTCGAGTATCCGGCAAGTATCATATCTGATACGATATCCGATACAGATATATCAACCTTAACGAAGTATTCATACTTCATAGATTCACAACTCTTTAACATTTGTGAGAGCAAAGTTGAAAACAACACTTATTGGCCAAAAGTTTTTTGAAAAACATTGCCCTAATTCATGTATCGGACAATAGCCATGTATGTTAGTTAAAAAATATTGAATTGATTTTGTATGTTTGTATAGTATTATTCTTCATGAAAAACCTTTTTTCTTGAGAGAGAAAAAAACTTGGATACGGCATGTAGTTGAAGAGATACATGAGGAGGACCATCCTTGGTCATTTTTTTTCATAAAAGTCCCATAGTCCCTTATTCTCAAGAAAGAAGACAAATGTTGCCATGTTTATGATTTGGATGATGATGCGGTTGTGTGTGGTTATTAGGTTTTATGACTTTCGGAATATATTTTCTTATGATTCTATCACTCCAAAGTCCAAGAGGGGTCAACAAGACTCATAATGTGGCTAACATAGAAGGCTACACCCCCAAATGAGAAAACTTTCTTTTCCATAACCCAATTACATCTAACAAAAGAATGTGGCAGCCCAATTTCAACTACAAAAAAGCCCGAAAGGAAAGCTGAATAAGCCCAATGCTAAGTCAGCTTTAAAACCCGTGACCACAACGCAACCCAAATCCCCTCTCTTGACTCTTCGTTTCTCTGTCCCTTCGCTTCTCTGCTTCTCACTCCTCGGATTGATTCGGATTTCTAGAGGGAGAGAGGGTCTCAGAGAGGAAGGGTTTCAGAGAATATATACAGAGGGGATTAGGAGATATAAAGGACAGGAAGAGAGAGAGAGGAGTGCGAATGTCGAAGAAGAAAGCTACGATGACTCTCAAGGACTTCCATGGCGGTTCGATTCCTTCGGATCTTCCTCTTCCTTCCGCTCCTGGTGTGTAAGTTCCTTTCTGTGAACCCTAAAAATATCTCCATGATTTCTCTGTTGATTTCCGGAGTTTACAATTTGTTGTTGTATGAACAAGCTTAACGCTTTTTGCTTAAATTTGATACTTTATTCATTTTTATGATTTTTATTTCATATATGGGTACTTTTAAGGTCCTAAATCACCCCCACAAATGCATCATGATCGATAAATTCGTTCTATTTCGATGTATATCTGTCTGAATTATCGATGTTATCTCTGCATAGAAATCCTAATTGCCCAAGCCAGCTTCATCTTTTCTATTATTCTGAATATTATCTTCAATTTCAATTTCCGTTGAATATAGAAACCCTCGGATTCGATCTACAAATGTACATATGTGTGTGCATTCAGGCAGTAGATCTGTTGTAGAAACCCTCGTAAATTTTCACTCTTTTTAGTGGAAAACGTAAAACTGTAATATGTACTCACGCACACACACACACACACACACAATTGGTTTCCTGTAGTGCATGAAATAGATCTGTTAAGTGGAAACTGTGCTAAAATTTCCATCTTTTTTGACAGAATCATGAGGCATTTGGATCGTGCTGGTTTCGATCGCCAAACATCATGGGTAAACCCTATGGGAAGGTCTGATCACCGGTTGCGACCTAATTCAGCTGGGGCAGGAAGACCCTTTGGTGATAATCCGTTCCTCACACATAGTGCACACATTGGCCGGAATTTTGATGAGGATGAAAGGAAGCCAATAGATGGGGTATCTGGCCCACGTCGAACAGTGAGTGATGATAGTCTTCGTGCTCTGCCAAGTGGTGTGGAGCCGCGGTCAGATTCTTCAGCCACTGGGAGAGTACCTGGCCGACCGGTTACAACTCCTGTGTCTCAGTTTTCATGTGGTAACACTAGTTCTTATGCGGCGAGGGTTAGTGAAGCAACTCATGGAGGAGTTAATGCTCAGACATTCAGTGGTAATGCTGTTTACGTGGGAAGTGAGGTGAGTCATGTGGGAGTCAATTATCCAAATGTGGGTGGTAATAGCGGGCAAACTATTGCTGGGTCATATTCATATGCTTGGGGACTGAGGAAGGAGGTGGAGCCAGCATGGTCTGCTCCAGATTCTGCATCAAAATTAGCACATGCCAGTGCACTTGATAAGGTCTCGTCGGGTAGGTGGCACACAAAGCAACCACTTCATAGTCATGCGGATGCTGAGATCATTAAACCTTCTGAAACAGAGAGAGAAGCTAACGTCAAGGGAAATAATATGTGCAATATGAATACCTACAATGTGATGGATGGGAGGGACTATCAAGATGTGACATTGGCCAGACTTGCTGAGAGGAGTTTGACTTTTGAAGATGGGACTCAGGGTGGTGGCAAGGAGGTAGCAACCTATGAAAGGGTCATATCTCCTATATATTCAGAGGCAAAAGAGAGGAACCCTCCAATTTATGCTGATGGTGTTCAACAACCTCGTAGTGTTGTCAAATTTGATGGGCCGGATTTGCAATCACCAGTTCCTTCAGAAACATCAGAGCGACCCAAGTTGAAGTTACTTCCGAGATCCAAGCCATTGGAGAATATGGAACCATTTGTTGATCATAAGCTGGTAAAACATGTTGCTACATATTCAACACTTGTTTTGCATTGTTCCACAGATTATGTCCATTATCGCATTTACTTCCCATTATTTGTTTAATTCAGGAATACCAACAGCCAGTTGATCCTGTTTTTGTGGAGAATGAAAGTGGATCCAGTGGAAATACAAATATCATAAAGCCTGGATTAGGTGGCTTTGAGAGTGGGAATCAGGATGCAGAGCGCCCAAAATTGAGTTTAAAGCCTCGGTCACAGCCTATTGAACAAATGGACCGAAATGTTGTAACAGGAAGGTTGGTAATTTGCATTGAAGCTCTTAGTAAATATTACCAATTCATTTGCTTGTATGCAGTGAGCAATTGTAGCCGAGGAAAAACACTAACCTACCCATTTTACATATTTCATCCCTAAATTCTTTAACTAAACTTCACTAAGCTTTGTCCAACTGTTTCATGTCAGCAGCATGCTTAGTCCTTCCATTTGACCCTAAAGACTTGAATGACATAATACCATGTTAACTTTTGCAGTCTTCCATTGCCGTAGGTCAACCTGAATGGAAGATGTCAATATGGTTCCACCAATGTGCATTTTATGGTTTTAGTGTTGATTCGTAAATTGTCTAACCTTTTTTCGAATCATGGTGTTTCTCTTCCTATGTCTAAGTTGTAGGACTTAACTGATTTTTGGGAGTAACCATTTTGTGGTATTAGAATTTTATCCTACACAGAAAGTAAAAATATTAAGTTCTATTTATGTAAAGATCTGATTTGGCCACTGAACCGGCTTAGTTGCACCGCTCGCTTTCTTGTAATGTGTTTAGATAACAAACACAATCTAAACGCTAGTCCACAAGCGCCGAACTTTGCAAAGATTTGTAGTATGCAGAAGTTTAGAAATTATTTATAGAAATGTTCCTTATTTACTCGACCTATTGTTGTGGATCCCTGGTTTTATTATAGATTTGTACATTTGTTGATGTAAGCTTAATGCTGAAGAACTGCCATGTTTGACACCATCTATCCATGTGAAATCTGATGCACGCTTGTGTCCACTTATTATTGATGACATCAATATTAAATTTGGTGATGTCCTTTCACCAACTTCATTCTTTTATATTTCTTTTTCTTTGGCTGCTTGTGTCTATTAATCTATACTGAGTTGATGTTTCATTAATGTGCTTGTCTCTATTGACCATTAAGATGACACCAAACTAAATTGATGCTATTTTATGGTTCTATTTGAAATGTTTTTGTACTGAGTTGCAAGGTGGATCATTATGCTGTGAATCACTGATCAATCTTCCTGAAGAGAACTTACTTTGTATCTTCTTATGCAATGGTTTTTCCTCCTTTTCTTCTTCTCCTTCTCCTTCTTTTCTTCTCCTTCTTCTCCTTCCTTCCTTCCTTTCTTCTACTACATCGTCGTCCTTTTTCTTTCTCCCTATTCAACGTCTTGGTGATTGTAACTGACTATTTATGGTGTCCGATGACTTGTGCAGGAAAACATTGTTTGGTGGTGCTCGCCCACGAGAGTTGGTAAGTGTTGTTATTGTCATTCTGTTATTTTATGGATTTGAAAATTCCCTGCATTTAATAATAACTGCAACTGCAAATGTCCTGCCATACGTTATTTAATGATTTCATAATCAAAAAATGATGTCATTCGTTCTTGATGCATTTACATTTGGTTTTAAAATTGCAACATTACTAGGTTTTATTTTTATTAGGTCCCACTGGTTGTGTCAATTTTCAACGGTTTCTTCATTACTGATTCTGCTTTCAGGTTCTAAAAGAGCGTCGTATTGATGATGAATCTGTGAACGATCATGAGCTGGGTCAACCTTCCAACAGGTAAGTAAATTAATTCAATCTTACCCTTTTTTTTCCTTTCTTCAGAGGTGGATGATTAAACTTATCTAGCAATTTTGTTTAGAATTTAGATTTCAAGGTATTCCTTGACTGACAAAATGTATTTATGTCAATTATTTTGTGAAGGGTTAGAAAAGATATTCCCAGGAATGAAACAGTTCCCATACAGATGGCCACTCGTCACAATGAAATACCTGAGAATACTTCACTTGATCATAGGATTGGAAAGAATCCTGATAGGCGGGATCACCGTGTAGATGGTGAGAGAGTTGATGTGCCGAGGAACTGGAGAAGCGAGAATCGAAGGAACGGTAGGGAAATCGAGAATCAGCAGCACCAGCACCAGCACCAGCATCCACAAGAGAGACCGCCCTCCCCAGAAACCTGGCGCAAGCCTGTTGAACAGCCAAAATCAGCATCCCTTGATTCTCCTCGATTGCGCTATGGGAAAGCTGCTTCTGCAGTTGAGCTTGCACAGGCCTTCTCGAGATCAATATCTGATCCAAAGATAGGTGATCGAATTTCTGGCCAGAGAGGCCCTCCAGCCGGGGAACAACTGCCTTTCTCTCGACTGCTGGGTCCAACAACAAGGCCTCATATAAATGGTTACTGACCTCACATACGAGGAGATTGTCACCGGATAGTTGGGTTCAACTGGAACAAGAATGGGTCGGCATTTGCAAGGTCTGGAAAAGTTACTTATTCTGCAAACTCTTGATCGTTTTTATTTTTCCCCTTCTACATGCGTGCTGTCAGAGTGCGGATCCAAAAAAATATCACCGAAAAACAAGAAGCGAAAATGAAAGAAAACAATAAACGCGATATACTTTTCCATTTGACAAGTTGACAAGAAAAATCTCTTCTATTTGAAAGGATGTTACTGATTTGCTGCTGTCATTGCATTTGGTAATTTTTAGCAATGGTGGTGGAATTCATGGTTTATATTTATGAAGTGTAAGAAAATATTTTGATGCTATCTTGGCCTGGGATTGGTGGAATTCCTAATTCATGGTTAATTTTATTGCTGGTTTCATTTCAATGTCATCGGTGTGTGATTGGTTTAACTGGAAGTGGACGATACCGAGAATCGGATGGGAGTCTTGCTTCGAATTAACTTATTTCATTTACGTGAAATACATGTTTTTGATCTTCTGATTGGAACAGGAGAATGAGATCGTTTCTTTTAATTTACTTTATTTCCTACGAACGTGTTAATTTCTTGGGATGAAAGACAAAAGAAAATAGGCTGAATCTGGCTCGGTGAAGATGGAATTACCTACACTACTGTACTGTCTGAATGAGGGATTCAGCCAATCCCATCTACTAGCAAGATGGATGTGAGATGGTAGAGCTTTGAACCTTCAAGTTGTGCAGTTCTAGTCTAAAGCGAATAATATTGTACACTGCGAGGCATTGCAGTTAGTATCGGAGCCATTGACTCTCGTGATGTGGAAGCCATCTAAGGCTGTACATCCCTCAGTGCACCCCAGTCTGACGGAGCAATGGCAGTTAGCATGGTGGGGGTAATCCCCGGAAGCCCACATCACCTGGGTTGGGACAGGGCCAAGATGCTTAGTTTTAAGGAGCAGATTCTAATAACTCAATTTCATATCGACTAGCGCGGTGGATATAGAGTAATACATAAATATGTACTTTAGACTTTCATTGTACAACACATTTTAAGGTTGTGCAAACTCAACTCATTTTAAGGTTGTGCAAACTCAACTCAAAACAGACAATATTATACAATGTAAATATGGGGTTTCGTGATATTACTATTATATTCAATATTTACTCCCATACATGACACAGATCTCAATATTTAAGCCAAACATAAATGAGCTACAGATTGAGAGGAACTCATCAAAATAAGAATGCAGCGGGGGAGAATGTGGGAATACTCTTCTGAAACGAATCTCCAGCCCTGAAATAAGAAACAGTAACAGAGACAAATGTTATTCAACAAGTCGTCGTCGTCGTCATCATCAATCAAAGTCGATATCTTGTTTGAACAGAAAAATACCTATGGAAAATGATTTACAAACAGAATGCCTTGTCATAAAAGATATGCTAGATCTAAGGACGACCAAACCCAACCCGAATTTTCATCTTTTAAAATGTTTTATTTCGTGCGTCGTCCATTCAATTCGTTTTTATACAGCTAATCACACTACTATGTGTCGGAGAGAAAAAGAATGGAACGAAAAAGAAGTGATTTATAAGAATAAAAAGCAAACGAACTGCCGGGTGTAATCATACTAAAACTAATACACCGAGATTGCTTACCTTATCTCACTTCTATATGCACAACCCTGAGAGTTGGATCTTGGCTTAAAATTTCCCATCTGTGTGTTGCCAGGTCTCGTGGCACCTACTGCTTTCCCCGACTTGACAACACCATCCTCGGATATTGTACACAGCGACGGGCGCCACCGTTCTGCCACTACTGACTTCTTATCCACCAACTTGGTATGCCTGTAATGTCTGTTCCCACTGCAAGCAATTGGCATGACGTTATTTGCCTCAAGGATTGGAGTCATTGCCTGTGTTCCGGCATAGAAACAGCAAAACACAAGATCTATAAAGAACCTCATACTCCCACACTGCACTCAGGTTTGCTTTATTTCTTCCTTTTCTAATCCCAGAACAATTTTGAGATATGTTGTGTTTTGTCTGTTGGAGCATCAAAATGTGGCATCCTTATAATTATGCCGGGTGGGTTCTTCAGAGTAAACAACACATCTGACCCTCAAATTACAACTTTTGTGTCAATTAAGTCTTTGAATTTATTTTTATTTTTTTTGTATCAATTGGCCACTTGAACTCTCTAATTGTATAAATCAAACCCTTATGTCACTCACATGACTATATGACACAGAAAGATAGAACAGCTCAATTGACACAATTAATGAGTTCATGAACTCAATTGATACAAAAATAAAATTTAAGTGCTTAATTGACAAAAAGATCATAATTTGAAGGTTATATATATAGTTTATTCCAACTATTTATATCGCGCGAGTAATATATTTCGCTACTTTCAGATAGAAAATCTTATAGAGACAAATAAAAAGGGCTCAATTGACACACCAAAAAAAAAAATTAATGACTTAATTGATACAAGAGTCAATTGGGGGGTAACGTAGTTAAGGGCTCAATTTTTTAATAATGAAAAAATAAAAATGGGTGCGATGAATAAAAATGAGAGTGGGTCCCATGGTGTGTTTGAGGTATAAGGATTGCTTTGCTTGTTAGCCACTTTATCCCCCATTAAACAATACTGGTCACATCAACATGGTACCAGTTAATATGGAACTTTAGTTGATAAAAACTACCCGAGTAGAGTTTTGATGTTAGAATTCATAATCATATGTTTTATTTGACTTTACATTGCAGGTGTGATTGTCAGCAAAATTAGCTGATCAACTCCATCTGCCCATTTTTTTAATTAGGATGAATAATAGACTTATCAGATTTCACTTCACTTGTTTTTTTTTTGGTTTCAACAGAGGGATGGTTGGACCAGCTGACATGTATCATAATTTACCTCCTCTCCGGTTTAGTCAAATGCAGATTATCTACGTCAAAACTATGATATTTACGAGGGATGAATCTCTCACGGTCTAAATTTACAGTTCGTCTTTATTACTATTTGAGCTACCACATAAGATTGTTTCACTTGTTAACTCTAGGTGCTCAAAGCTACTACGAGGTTTGATGAGGTTGTTCTATAGTAATAGCAAGATCATGTGTTTGAACCACTAAGATAATCTCTCTACACACGGAGTAAGGCTGCATAAACTAAGTTGATACTAAATAAGACTTTTTTTTGTTCAATGTTTTAATTTGTTTTGGTCATCATCCTTGAAACAACCTGGTTTCGTGCTTCTTTGTACTAACATATTAATTTATATGCTACTTTAGGTTGAGGTGATTTTGCTTTGCAGCTTGCAAGCACTTAAACCAGTATGAATTTCAAACCAAGCTTTAGGTCCCCCCCCCCCCCCTCTCTCTCTCTCTAATGTTCAACATCCACATGATTTCACAGGAACCCCTTGCATTGGTATAGCATTTATATGCATCCACACATGAAGTTATGTGTATTGTACTACTCTTATCAAATTCTTCGTCCCAAAAGATGTGATAGATTTTTAACGAACATCAAATAAGTTGATCTTGTTAATATTTAACGGAGATGATCGGACCACATAATTTATAAAAAAAAATTTGTTATATGTATTTGGAATGACAGTTTTATTTGTGTAAATTTGTGTGTTCATCGATATGAAAAAAGTCAAAAGTTACGAATTCTTTGGCCCTGGTTGTGGACCAGTAACCAAAACAAAAATTGAACCAGTCAAGTAGGGTTGGTCCAATTTCAGCCTAGGTAAGGTTTTTTGGTAGACTTGTCGATAGATCGGGTATTTATTAATTTGAATTCGACTTTAAAAATTTGATCCAATAACTTGATGAATTTTATTTTCGTGCTCTATATCTGAATCCGTTAATAATTTAATTCAATCCGAATAACTTAATTTAACTAAATTTTAGCAAATTACATTTAAAATTTAACTAAAAATTTTTAAATAATCACTTAATTTCTTTAATATTTATACAAAAATTTATACATTTTGGATCGGATCATAATTAGATCCGTATATACGTATATCTAAAATCCAAATCTGTGACATATAAGATTTTGAATTGGGGTTCAAATAATCGATAAAAAATATTAATTCCTATATGATTAATCGAATTCGGATCACAATTCAATCCATTGATAGGCCAATTTTTGGGTTCTTTTGGAGCATGTTGCCCCAATGTTCTGGCCCATTTAAAGCTCACTAGTTTAGCCCGCCTAGTATGGCTATGGGCCATGGCTCAGATAATCGGTCTCCAAAAAATAAAAATTCAAAAAAATATATTTTTCATATTTAAATAATAAATTAAAGAACCAATTATAGTCCATTGAAAGTTTCATTGGGACCACCCCCGTAATTAGGCGTGGGCCGCCCTTTATTTGGGTGGGCTGACCCACTCTCGGTTTTGGTCCAGTCAATGACCCGATGGCACACACGAAATAATCGGCTGTTCATAGGTGGCCCGATGCCAAACCTTAGCCGAAAACCTTACGCGGCATTTCCACATTCCATAATGTAACACGTTGACCGACTCGGCGTGCTCCTTAGTTTGTGAGACTCCTTCATTTCATACTCACCTATGGGGAACACCGAGTTTAAGTTTATGAGTCAAACTTATCACCTTAAGTTTAAGTTTAAGTTTAGAGATTTAAGTTTGGGAGTTTATATTGAGGCAATGGGTATTAATAAAGACGAGTTATTTGAATTCGACTTTCATTAAAAAAAAATTGATTCGAATTCGATTAGTATTCTAAATAAGTTAAATTTGAATAATTTTTTAAGTTTGTTTAAAAAAACGAGTCTAAAAAATTCTAACTCAAACTCACAAAAAGTTTAGTTCGTTTATGTGTAAAATAATTGAATTACTTAGGCTCGACTTAGATTCGACTCAACCTATAAACGAGTTAAATTTGAATAATTTTTTAAACTCGTTTAAAAATATGAGCTCATCAAACTTGAACTCAAGTTCACAAAATTTGGCTCAATTAACATCCCTAATTAGGCTCGGTAATTGATCGTTATATTAGCCTAACTAGATTTGTTCCTAGGAGGAGTAATGGACTCGATTAAAAGCCATATATACATCGAGGTAGTCTTTGAGAGTTTTCTTTTAATCCCACCTCTTTTTTAAATAGCAAAAAAATACTCACCTACGGGAAAAAAAAAATTCGGACAAAACTTCTTTTAAAGAGATACTTTAAGGTTTAAAATTTCGTATTGAAGCCTTCGAAATATTATCGTTTTCAATGAGATTAAAAATAAATAATGATTGAATCAAAATTTTAACATTTCAAAATATTTGAAGAGTTTCAAGATATTTTTGCGACCCTTTGAAAATAAAATTCTAAAAAAAATATTCATTTTTATTCTGTTTTCAAAATATTTTTGAAATGACTTTGATTTCTCGTTGACCGAAATAATGCAACCAAATAAAATTTTGATGTTTTGAGATAGTTTGATTGCTGTGACTGATAAGGGATTTGTTTTTTTTGGCAATCAAACAAAGCCGTGGATGGGATTTAGCTTCTAGTAAGAAGGCATATCTCATAATCAACTCTTCCCACTTCCACAATTGGCGGCAAAAAGTAGAGATTTGTGTCTACAGAGAGTAAGTAGGGACAGTAAACAAGATAGAGAGAGAGAGTCTATTTTGTTTTAGTGTGTGGATGATTAGAGCACACTTACTTTTAAACAAAGTCCCACTTTTTAATGCCCAAGATGTTTCTTATTCCTTGCAATTTCCAATACTGAACCATTTTCTCTGCTCTCATTTGACTAAGCAGCCAAGCAAATGCAGAAGAAGCTGATTACTTCCTTCTCAAAAATATGACTCTCCACAACTCTACTGCTTCTTTAATTTCCTTTATATCTAACTCCATCGAAACCATTCGCTTCGATTATCATATCTGACACCATACAGTCCTCTCACTGGAACGTATCATTTCGTTTTATTGGAGCTAAACTTTTTCGACAACAATGGAAGACTGCTGTAATCTTGAAGTAGATGTTAATGGCCAAGAGACTTTCCTAGTGGACAAGGTAACTTCACCCATTCAGCATTTTTCCTTTCTCCTTCTTTAACTCTTTCTAGTACATCTGATAGGCGTCTTGTGCACTAGATCGCCCATTGTTTCAATTTGATTTGTGCCTCTGCAAGTAGATTCAGTGGAACCACTGTTCATTTTTTTTCTGCTTTCCACTCCACCCTTTGGCCTTCAGTACTCATTCCAGTACTTAAAAAACCTAGCCAATTCATACCCTTATCTGAATGGCTGCAAATTCACCAGTTGCATGGGTTTTTGATAGTTTCTGATGAATTTAATGTCCTTATTCTTTTTTTTGTAGCCATTGAAAGGGTCCAAGTTGTAAAAATAAGTAAGTTTTGTCCAGAGAGTTTCCTAGTTTTGTCTTCTTATATCTGTCACCTACCCTATTTTGTAAGTTTTGTGTACTTGTCACAAGTTATTTTGTTTTAGTCTGATTTAATCCTTTTCATTTGAAACTTTGTTTACAAAAGTTGAAGTTAGTTACTTTGTGTGAACATTGTTAACCATCTTATGTTTTGTGCTGTAATTATTTTTTTTGCAGAAAATTCTTGCATCTTTCTCTTGTAGATTGAACAAACTGTTTGAAAAGTCGAGGGGTGCAACAAAGAACCTGAAAGTAATTTTCCATGACTTTCCTGGCGGTGCAGAGGGTTTTGAGCTCATAGCAACATTTTGCTATAACAATGGCAGAATTGACATAACTCCCTCTAATATATTTCTGCTACATTGTGCTGCCAATTTCATGGAAATGAATGTAGACAGCCGTGGGAAGCTCAGTTTGTCACGCCAAATCAAGAAATACTTTGAAGGGATTCACTTCTGGACTTGGTCCAAATTCGTAGTGGGTTTGAAACAGTGCCAAGATTTATTTTTGGTCATGAATTCTTCGCATATGCTTCAGGAATTTTTGGATTGTTTGGTTGGAAGACTTGTTTTGCCTTACGATGCAAGCCCCTATACATCTTCCTCAGACAGGTCTAGTTTTCAGTTTTCTGGTGACATAAGTCTTGACAGCATGAGGAATTACAGCTCTCAAACTCTATGGTGGTTCGAAGATCTTGTCTTTTTGGACACTGATTTGTTTGAAAAAGTGATAGGGACAATGTTGTCACATAAATTCAACCATACCACATTATCTTCGTTCATCTTTTATTATCGAAAATCAAGGTTTGTTGGTGCCTCAATACTTGAGAGGTGCAAAATCACAGAGACTGTAATCAGTCTGCTTTGTTTACTTGATGAGAGCTCCATTTCTTGCAGAGGTTTATTTGAAACTTTTCGAGTAGATTTGAACTTGAAAATAAGCAAATGCTGCAAGATTAAGTTAGAAAGTTTGATTGGTCCTCAGCTTGACCAAGCTACATTGGATGATTTGCTTGTTCCTCCTCCACCTTGGAAGAAATACGCATACGACGTGAATCTAATCCTTAGGCTCTTGAAGGTATTCCTGCTTGATAGTAGCAAAATATTTTCCCAAAATCAGCTGAAAAAAATTGCTGGCTTGATGGATCTGTACATGGCAGAAGTGGCCCCTGATCGTTGTCTTAAGCTTTCAAAGTTTGTGGCATTAGCCATGGCCCTGCCGGATTCTGCAAGAGACTCTCATGATGGAGTCTACCGAGCAATGGACATGTATCTTGAGGTACAATGCTCATTACGAACGATAATTCTTTTCAATTTTCAAAATGTGTGCTAAATCACTCCCTGCAATGAAAATCCAATTGGTGAATGCTTGGACTGACACTAAGTTTTTGACAGGTCCACAATGGTCTATGTGAAGAAGAGAAAATTAGATTGTGCTGTGCACTAAATTATGACAAGCTCTCACCGGGAACTTTGGGACAACTAGCTCAGAACACGAAATTTCCACCTATTGCAGTAGTCACTGCTATTGTCTCTCAGCAATCCAAGCTCAAAAAACTTCCCAAGGATGCAAATCATCTCAAGACCTTCAGTGACTGGCCTGTATGTTCCAATAAAAAGGGTATTGGTGCAAAGAAGGTGTCTGAGCAAATCTTTCTTCGTGCAAAAAATTATGATTTTCCATCTCACTGTGAGAAGCTTAGACTACAAATGCAAGGTATACCGTGGAAGGTTGTGAAATTGGAGGAGGTTTGCAAGACCTAAACGTCGAACAAGCAAGATTATCTAGTCCAATGTATGCTAGATCCTTAACCAGGACTATGCCCTCATACAAATGTGTTTGCCTAATGTGTTGTACAGTTTCTGAGAAACAAGTTAATGAATTATTTTTACAGTTTCTGCAACAAAACCACTCATACCCTGTAATGCAAGGGAAGTCATCGAAAAACTACTAAACATCGTGAATATTTTTGACAGTAGGATAGCTATTTCGCCCATTGCGTCGAGATAAACAAGACGAATTCTACCATACTTGTTCTTGTTTGAGCCCTTTCCTAGAACAATTGCATCATTACACTATTTCTTTCTCATCTCTCTAAAAGGAAAAGAAAATCACAAACCTCACATGATGGTTACATTATTCCTGGATTCATCGACAGTCTTTCCTTGTACCCTTTAAGCCTATAATAGACTGCAATAAAAATAATTATCAAGAATTATTAGATACAAAGTAGTATCATGCAGACTTAGTAATGGATGACTTCTATTTTGTTCCGATTATGATGCAGTGGAACAAGGAACACAAAGAACACTACAATTCTTTAATGTATCAAATCAAAAGTAACGCTCTAAATCCACAGAGAATAGAAAAAATTCTGAAATATAATGTTATTCAATTATCAACTTGTAATACAAATGGGCAATATAAATAGAAATAATCAAAACCCTAATCGTTCCCAAAACAAAAGTAGAATTCTTAACATTACGAAAAATACAAAAAATGGAAATATGCAATTTTTCTGTTTAACATCAAAGCATGGGTCATTTGCAGTCCAACGCAACTGACGACGCTAAATTAGGAGTCTCATATATTTTATTATTAATTTTTAAATTCTTTCTTAAAATGGTTAAAATGGCGGATTTTGAGGCCTAAATGATAAAATTTTGTCCAAGATTGAAGAAGCTCACAATGAAGGAATGAGTTTTGATCGTTGGCCCGATCCAGATTAAAACACCACTGATCCCACTAAATTTTGAGTCTGACTCATTTTACATCTACTATTACTTTTTGTCATTTTGTTGTAATTTGAGATATGATGGTCAGACTATTCCAAGTAGTCTACTATCACCTATTCTTCATCAGATTATTCACATTCAGTCCAACATATACTACTCTAGATTTTAATCAAATCTAGCATGAAAATCGATCGACCAGAAAATGGAAATTAGACTAGTTAATGTTAGGAGTGCAACTTGGGCGAACCAACCTGAATTCAACTTGAGCCCGATCTGAAAAAGAATAGGAATTGGATTGAAATTTTTAATACTTAGGTTAGGCCTAGGCCAAAAAACCTAACACAAATTGAATTCATGCAAGCATCGGGTTTCTAGGTTCTCAACCCAAACCCGATAAATTTAAAAAAAAAATTATATATATAAAGCATTAGCACTAGGGTTTTTCATTTTTGCTCTCTACATCTCACAACACCTCTCTTTGACTCTCTCGTTCTCTCTGTTGTTCTCAGCTCCTCTACATCTCTTGACCTCTCTCTATCTCCCTGGCTCTCTCTTACTCTCTTGGCCTCCCTCTCACTCCCTATATGTGTCGAAGACCACAACAATGATCAGATCTAGTGACTTTTGCATCTCAGATCTGGTGGAGATCTGATAGCTATGACAACGATGGTTAGATTTGGTGACTGTGGTGTGGTGGCTGTGGTGGCAATGGGCAATAGTTGTGGTGGTGGCTATGGGTAGTGGTTGTGGTGGCAAAGGCTATGATATTTTGAACTTTTTGATTTAATTTCTTTGTGTTGTGCAATTTTTTTTATTTGATTTGTAACTTGAATTCAAATCTGAAATTAACACGAATTAAAAAATCTGAATTCAATTCGAATCCGTCCAAATTTAACTTGAGTAGTACTCGAGTTGAGTACCTTGGGTTAAAGTCGGGTTAGACCAAAATTAACCCTTCGGGCAACCTAACTTGCCCGAGTTGCACCCATAATTAATGTGTAATATCTTATTCTTAGTTTCTAAAAAGTAAATGATCGTCCCAACATCCAACAAGGGTACTCTACCCTCTATGTAAAAGTTAAAGTACTGTAGACAATGATCCAACTGACATAACCAATGAAAATAGTTTTTAATGATTTTTGAACAAATAGAAGCAGTAATGGTCATGATCTTTGTCTTCCTCTTACCCAAGAATCTTAATTGTGCATTAAGATAATCAATGGATGTTTCTAAGGAATATTTCTGCTGAGTTCCGAGCCGAGTCTAGTCGAGCACAAATTGCGATGGCAATTAATGCAGAAATAATACAAAAATAATATAAACCTGTAACGTTTAGGGTGAGAAACCCGGGTCACATAGAAACTCCAATGGAACAGAAGCATCTTGGAATTTAGGATTATTGAACTTAAAGGTAACTTTTTTAAATCGTTAAAAGAAAAACATTTTTCATTTTTAGTACAAGAAAAACTATTCTACACGACCATTAGTGTATTATCCCGAATTTAGATTGTACAACATTGTCCATTTTAGGCTAAATTGACAAGATTAATACAATTCACCGAGTGAAATAAGGTCTTATAACAACAATCATCGTTCTCAAAATAGTTTACCCATTTGTCAACTTTAAGTAAATAAAGAATGATCAAGAATTGCTATAAGATTTATATTCTGTTTGGTAGGAACGATGAAAAATAGGGACGATAAAAAGTAGAAGAGATGAAAAATAGGAGTGATACACTTTCTATTCTTCAAAGAAGGAAAATAGGAATGATACACTTTCTTTCATGTATATTTTGTTGGATGAATGGAAAATAAAAATAACAATTTTTTTTTGTGCTGGCTAAGATTAGGGGTGTCAATTGAGTCGTGTCGTGTCGTGTCACATTCGTGTTGAGTCATTACTCATTTTTGTCAAACATTAGTCACATCTAACTCAACTCATTTAACTAATGATGTCCTGTCGAGTTATGAGTTGATTTGTTTATTTTCGTGTTCGAATTAATCAAGTTCGTGTCATAAAATTCGTATCGAGTTCGAGTTGTGTCATCATGTTGAGTCAAAAAATTTTATCCGAGGTAAGATGGAAATATATTTTTAATTTTATTATTGTATTTTTATATAAAATTAATGTATACATAATATATATATGAAAAAATATATAGACAAATAATTAACTTTCTATCTATTTTCCTTCCGATTTTGGAGGGATTGATTTAGGTGAATTGGAAGGAAAGTTAATCCATCCACTTTTTCATCTTTTTTATTTTTTTTTCTTATCAAACGTGATATTTTATTTATCTTTTAAACTTTATATTATTTTAATTTTCCATCGTTTTATTTTTTTTACCGTATCAAACGGTGGGTGGATTCAAAACAAAGGGTAATGTCCAGTATGGCAATTCTCAATGCAAGATGAAGCTATTAAATGCTTAAGTGAGTCTCAAGTGCAAACTCCCTAGTTGAGTGGACCAACATCCTTGAAATCACAAAATGCATCTTTTTTTCTTCGTCTCAGAAACAAACAAATGACAAAACATTTTCGATAAGAGTGAGGGGTTTTGGGTTCCAAATCCATTGGAATCAGAGAGCATTAATGGGTCAACAAAGTGAAAAAACTTTCCTTCAAATTTAAATCCCCAATTTTATATTACAATGCTGTCTCTTACTTATGGTTTAAAATACGAGTTACAATATCATTATGTGATACATATAAAATTTAAGTCTTATATAACTTGATCAATTTGTCCGAGTTATTTTCGAGTCGCTGACTTGTCATCATCATCGAATCAACTGATACGATTCTATGATTTTGCGATATGATATGAATTTCTAGTTATGTTCAACATTTTTTTAAATCGTATTATTCAATATTGCGTTGCGACGCCACTACCGATATGTTTCAAAGCTCTCTTAATTGATGGTCAATATCATGATCTTGAATCATGCTCCACCTTTAAAAACCAAAAGTTTACAAGGGGTTGCAAATATTTAAATTAGTTGGACTTTTATAGCTTTTGAGGTAGAGAAAAATAGTTTATTTTCTTCTAAGTCATCTCTCTCTCTCTCTCTCTAAATGTAGAAATGAGATGCTATTTTCGTTTAATTTTGATTTTAAATGTACATGAAAAAACAATAAATAGGCGGTCAAGAAAGAGAGACAAGAGGTGGTATAATCAAGTGGGGGAAAAAAAATTGTAAGGTAGAACGAAACGTAACGATCAAATTCAAATTTTTGATTTGATAGAAGTTATATCTTGTATCGATTAAGAAAGTAAGATTCAAGGATAGCACTTCAACCCCAAAAAATGCTAAGAGCATCCAAAAATGATATTATCACGCTAAAAAGTGATAACTTCACCTAAAAATATGATAATATTATGAATCAATCTCAAAGTAAGCCGAAGACAAATAGATCAATCTCAGAATCTATCCCAAATGTATATGTTTAGTTGATCCCTGAGTCAGTCAACAACCAATAGATCGATTGCAAATGCAATTATTTGATCAATCCTAATTACGACCCAAAATGTATAAGTATTATGTATATACTAAAAGTTATATACATCACATTTACTATATGATATTATCAAATATTCTTTTAATTTTATAATGAAATCATTGAAAAAAAAGATATTACCAAACTATAGCTAAAACTACCAATTATTAAATAAAGAAAAGACTATGGTTTGGATTTGGAAGCCACCAACAGGTAATTCTCTCTCTCTCTCTCTCTCTCTGGGCAAAAATGTTGGGCCTGGGTCGGTTAATTTGAGTAGTCGCCCAAGATTTTGAGTCCAGCAGTGAGTCTGGAATTTGGGCTGCAATAGAGCAAGTAACAATAAGATTAATTGGCCCATCTCAGCTAAAGCTAAGTGTACTGTAGCAGAAGGGTAAATTACACTTTCAACCCTTTAATATAGTATATTATCCCTTATCCCCTTATTACCCGAGAAGCCTATTTCTAGACGAAAGTCGAAGTTGGTAGCACCACGTAAATATACTACTACTAGCGCCCGCCTCATGTGATG